CGATGTAGTTGTTAATTTTTTAAATATTAGTTTTATAACTGTATGTTAATGTGTATTATATAAAACTAGAATTGCCCGTCTCCACATATATTGTTGTGTGCTATCGGCTGCCATATTAAATCTTAAGATAATTATTTAGTTTACATACGAAGCGTGTTTGTCGAGTCGTATATACTGGTACTGCGAACGAGTATGTCGTCTTTCATCGAATAGTATTTTACGTTACGTACGTTTTTTTATGACTCCCTTACATCTATCTACTCGGTAACTACTAATCTATATTAAACAAAAATAGCCCGTTTTTGACCTCATAATCAAACGGGAAAAGGATTGTTATTAATGTGGACCCCAATACTGTACATATTTGGTATATGTTATTTTTTTCGGACTACTCTAATGCTGTTGACCGCAGCTGGCCTTTACAGCTTCACCGGACGTTAGGGACCGAGTGCCGATGGCACTCAAACCCGCGGAAGGACTTCTGAAACGGCTGAAGCTCAACTCCCACCTAACGGATACGACTTTAGTCTGAGGGCACCACTAGGGGTTCGAACCTCGGCTCAGGCTGTAGTAATTTCGATCCCCGTTTGAATTGGACGGGGGATCGATCGGAGGGACGCCCGGGGGCGCCGGTGGGCACCGGTGTGGAGCGCCCGGGCGCGCGTAGGCGCCCGGTTGAATGCGCGATATTGTGTTTGAGGTCGTCGTCTTCGCCGGCGAGGACGGTGTCGTGTGTGTGTGTAAAAGTGTGGTCGGGGTGAAACGGGTGGGCCCGTGGGGAGGTTACCTGCCGTTATGGGGTCATCGGGGTCAGTTGGTATATGGTACAGTAATATCATGTCTGTAGCAATGTACCATGTCAAGGTGAATCTGTTACGATCGGCTAACTGACCTGACCTCATGCTCATCTTATCATCCTCCACTGGTGTAAACCGTTAGCGAAGGCGGGTGCACCATTCCATTATCATCCATAAAACCTCTTAACCACCGCGCTATAAGTAAAAAAAAATATTCAAGCTGTAGAGATCTAGATAACAGACAGACAGACTTACCCTTAGGAAACGTCACGTGACTCGTCGTGTGAAGACTTGTGTCGACTCCATTCGGTACGAGATACGAATCTGCATTGAAATGACACAGAGTGAGACCTTATAAAAATTACTTATTTGTAATGGGGGTCAGACATACATACATCTAGCTTTGAACATAGATAATACTGATTACTTGCTTTAAAGAACATCCATTGAAACTCATAATTTTTTTGACTAATTATTAGAAGAGCATCCTCCTTCGTAAACTTATATTGTGGACTACCTGCCGAGGTTTGCCTGAGAGACTACAGTATGGGATTTTTCATGAAAGTATATAAAGGTTTTTCAGGAGTCGGCCACGCGCACGTGACACCCCTGATATTTCATTCGTCCATAGGCTACGGTAACCGTTTACCACCAGATGGGTCGTATGCTTGTTTGCTACGTAGTATAAAAAAAAACATATAGGCGCACATATCACGCGTGAAGCCACGGGCACAGCTAGTATAATATATGTCACTTACGTGGCGTCACACTTGTCACAGTTGAGTTCGCCAACTCTGTGCACGAACTTGACGTGTGCGTCAAGCGTACACTTGCGTACGAAACGCTTGTGACACGAGACGCACTCATGTGGCCGAGTGTCTGCGTGTGATTTCAGATGTGTTGATAGACTGCAAACAAGAATAATATTATATATATTTATAGTACACACAATATTTTACGCATGGCAACACGCGGCCCGTTAAACAGTTTTATGTGGCCCGCCTAACATTTCTAAAAATTCCTTTTTTATTTTGTATACACTGCTAAGAGTGGACATAAAAATACTGCAATTGCATGCAGTGTTATGTAAATTTAGTATTCCTATGTTATACTTTACTGAAGTTAGGCTGTATGGCATCTGCTTACTACTTATGCTTATGCTTATATAACACTTTCACTGAAAGTAAGGCAGTATAGCGTCCGACCTTAGCCCGTTCCACTGGTACAAACTAAAAAATATAAACTATACTTACTTAGTTCTAGCACTGAGTGATTTTCTACAAACTGGACATTGTACTCTTTCACTGCGGTGTATAACTGCATGTCTCCTTAACAGATATTGTGCTGGGAAACCACTGCCACATCTATCACATATGTACCGGTTCTTATTGGAACAATGAGTTTTGCGTATGTGCGCTTTGAGGAGCGTCATACTTGAGAACGTCTTGTTGCAATTGTGCTGAAACAAATAATAATAATTCCTAACATTCCTACTGAATAAAATACAATATGAGAACAAGTGACTTGGTAAAAAACTTGTCCTTGTCTCTACAAAACTAGCTATGTTGAGAAATCACACATATATATAATAATAATAATAAATCTGGACATGACTATGATGACATAATACTATAGATATATATAGACATATAATGTGTGATTTATAAATGTGTGAAATTGATCATGCAGCACCATTTAGTCCGAATCAAAGTAAATTTTTATGTTTTTTTTGTATACTTTTTATTCAAAATTTTTTAATCCATATTTATAACAAATATCTCAAGACAATACTAGTTCCAAACTAAGCAGAAATTGTGTTATAGGTACTAAACAACATATTTACGATATATTTCTTTAAGTAAATGTATACATAATATAAATAGACAAGATCCAAATAATAATAATCATGAATACAAATGTTTGTACGGTATGAGGAACCTAACATGTGACCATGTGGAAATAAAGCCGTATTGTGATCCGCTAAACCACCAAAGTTTTGCATTGTAAGGCTCTTATCGATGGAGCTTATGATATTTCATTTCTAAATTACATTTACCTGTGGGCATCTCGGATTTTGAAAGTCTTCAATATCCATGTGATATTTGTTTCTTTTGCCGGCCGTTTTCTGTACCACAACATTGTCAATGAATGTCAACTCTCCACCATGTTTTGTATTTAGCTCTAAAAGTAAGTATAAATTAATAAATAGAAATAGAAATAGAATAGAATAGAATAGAAAATCATTTATTCAAATAAACTTACATGAAGCACTTTTGAATAGTCATTACATTTTTTTTTAAACTAGCAGCTGTCTATCACAAGAAGAACGAGCAAGAATAGCCTTTTAAATAATTTTATTATTCCATTTTTAAGTTTAAGTGTGTGAATACACACATTCAATTAAATACTCAAAAAGAAAAAATATGAATACATAACCAACTGTTAAACAATTAATAAGAGGAAATCAGTCATAGTGATTAGAGCAGACCAGTCCCTATAAGCAGAGTATGACGGATGAGCCAGCATCGACCATATTTTAGGGACCCCATGACCCGGCCCACCACGCCGCCACAAGTCTGGACATTTTAGTGAGCATGACTACTCAAAACATAAATCAAAGTTGTTCACAATTGCCACCTAAAATAATCTATTAAAGTAAACATAAAATAATCTTTATTATGTAAACTGTTAATAGTAGCAGTATAAAATAGTCATATTTTTTCATTCTAATGAGGATCATTCCAAATGCAGACTCATCACAACACTGTTTATTAATTTAATACTTGCCTCTTGAACATCACTTTTACCACATAAATGTTGTTCTAAATACAAATAGCAAATTTGACGGGCTGTATATACTACTTTTATTATGTCCGACTGTTACCATAAGAAATCAGGTATAAAATGAAATATTGTTCTTACCTCTTTCTAGATGAGGATAATTTAAAGGCTCAGCAAATACAACACTGTTTATTAATTTAATACTAGTTGCCTCTTGAACATCACTTCCAACACCACATAAGGGCTAAAACAAAAGGAAAAATATTTAGGGCTGTATATACTGGCCAAATAAACAGTTCATCTGCCATTCACAAACCGCCTGACAAATATATAGTAAAACTAGTTGACCCGCAAACATTTTTTGCCATTAAATTAAAATCGTTATTAAAAAAAAGGGCTTTTGATAGAATGGTAAAAATGCAGGGTTGTATGTATTTACTATATTTTAAAATAAATATTTTATTAATTTTTTTTTTTAAAATGTTAGGAGTATGAAAAATAGATAACCGATTCTCAGACCTACTAAATACATGCATATAAAATTTAAAAAAAATCAGTCAAACCGTGTCGGTGTATGGTAACTAACGTTGTGAATTCTGACATGAGAATTTTATATATAAAATTACTTACATCCTGTTTCAAACTAATATTATCTTCAAATCGGTTAACAAATGGTGCATTTTCAGAACTAACGAATAAAGAATGTCTCTTCAACATCGACATGTTTCGAACATTCGAAGGTTAATTTTTTTAATAACCGGCACGGAAAATACAGTATTGAAAATGGGAAATTTAAATAGCTTTCCTCTAAATTTCCTCTTCCTCATTCATTGTTTATGATATAAGATTCCTGACAAATATTTAATCGCCCTTAATATCATACAAGTTTAGTTTTTCGGAACACCTCAAATATATATATTTTTTAATGTTTCACTGAATTAGCTGTATTAACGGTAAATACAATTACTTATTTTTACCATTTAATAAATAAAAAAGTAAGTATTCAGTTACAATAGGTCATTTAAATATGAAATAAACTAACGATTCAACATCCTGAATTCAGAATCTTGATGCTGAAATTCTTTTAGTTTAGCAGGTATAAAAACTGTGCTTTTCGTTTTTCAATGGTGGAATGACAGCTTCAAACTGAAACTCTATTGTCATGCCACTACTATTTTGAGTACACTTTCATACGGGTCAATCTATTGATGGAATATTATAAAATACATTATTGTAATATGTTTTATTTCAGTATTTTTTGTGATTAATATTAAATTAGAATTTAATATTTAATATTTATTTATTTTACTCGTACTATATAGAAATATTATATTGAATTTATTTGACACTGACAGAGTGTCAAATCTATCATTCGGTATTTTAATTGTGATTTGAGAATAGTAGTCTGTTGGTAGTCTGTGTCTTTGTTATTTCCGTTCAATACAACGTGTTTCCTTAAATTATATGTACTTTTTACTATAATTTAAATAATTTGAGAGCGATTAAATAGAAGGGAATTTTAAAGCTTGAAATTGTGTATTACCATCACGTATTTACGAGAAGAGATTGTAAATTAATATTTTACCATACAAATTACGCCTTAGATCGTAAATTAAAATATAAATACTTATTTTCTAACAAAATGGTAGTTGTTTCATCTACGTTTTCTCAACCTATCGAAGGAATTCTTCATCAGGCTCCTTCTACAAAACTCTTTGTGAATGATCAGGAACTTGGTACTGCTACTTTGTACATTACAGAAAGGTGAGGGAATGTAAATATTTTGTTTGAAAATTCACGTGTTTACAGATACAGGTTTCATATTTATTACCTACACAAAACTTGGCATCTCTTTAAACGCTGTAACTGGGATGACTTATCTGGGTACCAAATTTAATTAGAATTAGTTAAGAGCGTAAGAGTAACAACAAAAAGCCACCTGAACATAGGACTGGTGTAACGATGTGACAATGTGTAATAACAATACAACTACAGAACATGCTCTAACATAAATATATTTCAATAATAATAATAATGTTTTGGTTGCATTCTTTTTTTTATAATTTAATTAGTGTCCCAATACTGGGCAAAGGCATCTCAGTCACGCTTCCAAACCTCTACCAGAGACACAATTAGACCAATTAAAATATTAAAAAAAAATATCCCATCACACTCAGCTAAATAGGTCTTGAATTTTTAAAGGCAATATGTAACATTAACAAAACCAGAGGTGTCAAACTCAATTTTGCAGAGGTCTTTATATTAAATTTAGAATGTGTACTCTATAGATAAATTACTATAATAAGTAAATAGTAGTAGTAGTAATATAATGACCTCAAAATCAAATAAAAAATGTACTGAATTATTATAACATTTTATTTATTTAATTATACAGTATATAATGTATGATTGTTGAATATATATATGATTGTGGGCCTTATTTATATAGTATCTTTGATATGATTAAACTAAATCATAAAATATTCAATATTTTTTTCTTACAATGACAGCAATGTGGTGTGGGGAGGTGGTGTGCGGCCATCTGGTGTTGCCGCTCCCACCATATCACTGCTCTACCCCAGCATCTCACTCCATGCAGTCCAGAGGGAACCCTCGCCGGCTCTCTATATGGTCCTCAATTATGAACTCAGGTATTTTGTTCTAGAGTGTGTTGGTCTTGGTTTACTAGCCTCTGTTCATATCAGGCTCTGACTGGACTGAGGACTAAGTTGTCTATGTTGTAGTCTACTGATGCATATGTGTATATATGTAATCAGGTGCCAGTGGAGAAAAACAAGGAAAGCTGACCCCAACACCATGATAGATCCACATAGATAGGTAGGAAGAGAGAGATATTTATATCTGTTGCTTAGTATATAGTATATAATATATAAGCATAGTATTAGATGGAGTGGAGCGGCTGAAGGCCAACTCCTGCCTGATGAATACGACTTTAGCACCGCTAGGGGTTCGAACTTCGGTACAGCCGTATGTCGTAATTTCGATCCCCGTTTGAATTGGACGGGGATCAGAGTATAATCTGTGCAAATTGTGAAGAAAGCTTAATAATAACTTCTTACTTCCAGAGTTCCAGAACTAGCGCAACCATCAGGCGGAGGGGACGCCAGCGAAGATGATGAGTTTGACGCCGATGACCAACCCATCACACAATTACGGTAAACATTTCATTATTTATAGATCTTGGCCTGTCTAAAACTGCAGTGGGTACTATACTAAAGGTGTACATAAAGCTGCGTTAGTAGGCTCCTACCAGATTAGTTTGGACAGGGAAACATGAGTGGTGAAGGTGAGTGTTGATATATGTCAACAAAGGGTCCTTTAAACCAGTACCCAGGTCATAGCCCGGGAACTGCTCGGAGTTTCCCTCTTTGCCCCACGATGGACCCAGCATCCGCACGGTGAATCCATGGAATGCTAAGAAGTTTATCTCAGAAGCGTCAACTCTAAATTCCAAAATGGCTGAAAAGGTTTAACCACATCTACTTTAAAATTATGGAACAAGTCACCCCCTGATGTCCCTTCTCCTCGTATTCTCCTACATCAATCTGTTTTCCACAGATTCATTTTGAATCATATCTTTTTTTAAGTCTAGTTGAAGTACTAATAAATACAGTTAAAATATAAAAACAATACTGCCTGCCCGCGTCGTCGTCAAATAAAGAAAAAATATTTAATAATCTGACCCAAAAAATCCAAACAAAAGTTTCATCATTCTGGCTTCAAAATGACAAATTTCCATCCCCTATTTTATTTTACCCCCTTAACGGTACAATATTAGAAACTTTGAATGTCATATTTATTTATATTTAATCAACAGCCTAGAAAATAAATTACAAGCTTTTATCTTTAAAAACGGCGATATTACATACAACCTTTTATGTCCCCTTTTAAGCCTTTTTTGCATTAAAAAGTAGCCTATATCCTTTCTAAGGGCCTAGACTATCTGTGTACCAAATTTAATTTAAATTGGATCAGTAGTTTTGGCGTGAATGCGCGACAGTAAGACGGACAGACTTTAGCATTTATAATATTAGTACATTACTAATAATATTGTCTTTTGTCAACAGTTTTATACCACAGAATGAAGGTGAATTGCAAGCTATGTACTCCGCAATGAGCCAAGGACAGACCCTCCACCCGGACCCCACAGACGAAGTCGATGAGGATGATCTGTATATGGATGGAGAAGAATTCAATGATGGTATGTTTCCTGTTTTATTAACGATTGCAAAAAAATTACAAAATAAAATCACAATAAAGACATGAATCTTATTAATATTATAAACGCGATTCCACACACATTTGCAACACACATTTGTATGCATGAATATGATTGTTTTTACTCTTTGCAAAAACTACTGAACAGATTTTGATGAAACTTTAGTATTAATAGAAAATACATCAGAATAATATATAGGCTATGTAATTTCACGCGGTTGAAACCGCTAAAGTGATGTTTAATATAAGTACTGGCAACAATAAATTTGATTTGCATGTTTATACTCTATTTGCAGGTTCAATTTCATTTTTTGATTTGTTTGAGTGTTTTGTATTTTAGAAATTTATCAATCCTAACAATATATAATGAAATACATTTACTGAACATGTAATAATATTGGATTTGAAAGCAGATAGTAAATAGGTGTCTATGTGCAGGTGAAGAACAGTTCGAGGATGCAATGGATAATGGTGTTGTACCGGCGGGGGAGGACGATGCGGCCGCTCGCCTGCGACTGCTGCGGCTCGGGAGAAGCAACGGCTCCCATCCCAACACTGATGATCCAGGTATTGTATAAATTATAATAATACTGGACAACTCTCAGCGCCATCTAGTCCCAAGCTATATAGAGTTTGTTATGGTTATGAGTACAAACAACTGACAATAATAAAATAATATTATTGTGGACGATCCACACAGCGTCATCTTGTCCCAAGCTAGCAAGAGAGCAGAGCTTGTGTTATAGGTACTAGACAACTGATAATAATAATGTAATACCAGACAAACTAAATTATACCCCTGGACACTCCTATTGCTAGCAATGTACCATGTTAGGTCGACCTCCACGTGGTTCTCCCTGGAAACCATCGTGATGAATTCTTGGTGAATTTGTCACGATGGGCTAACTGACCTGACCTCACGCTCATCTTATCATCCTCCACTGGTGCCCCGCCAGCGTAAACCGTTAGCGCAGGCGGGTGCACCATTCCATTATCATACACAAAAAAAAAAAAAAATACCCCTGGACTGGTGAATTGTTAGTAATGTGGACTGATAATCTCATTGACCTCAATGTACCATGTCTTATGACCTCCACGCGGTGCCCCCCAGCGGAAACCATCGTGATAAATTACTGGTGAATTTGTCACGATGGGCTAACTGACCTCATGTTCATCTTATCATCCTCCACTGGTGCCCCGCCAGCGTAAACCGGTAGCGCAGGCGGGTGCACCATTCCATTATCATCCATTAAAAAAATACCCCAGGATAATTCACACAGCGCCATCTAGTCGCAAGCTAAGCAGAACTTGTGTGATGGTACCAGACAACTGATATAAATTCATAGTTACATTTTTTTATAGGTACATTATGTATGTTAAATACAAATAAATAATACCCAGACGAATACAAGTAATCGTACTCACGAATACAAGTGTTTGTACCGTGCTAGGAATAGAACCCGAGACCATCGGAAATGTGGCAGTGTGCTAAACCGCTAGACCACGCTAGATTTTAGGTATTTCAGGTGATTTATTTATTATATTTTATAATTACAGATGAAGAAGATGCCGATATAAGTGAACAGCAGTGATGCTCATCTTAGTGCACGTCGCATCAGAACGACTACACTTTGTACATCTTAATAATAAATTGTTATTAGATGTATGTACTACACAATTGTTTGGCTATGGATGGGTTGCCATATCTAAGTGTTGCAAGCAAAAATTACATTTAATTTGTTGTGTTGTATGTTTAATTTGACCAAGAATTTTACATCAAAATGGTCGAATTAAATTGACGGGGTTTCAATGACTGGATAAAATAAAATAAAAAAGTTTTTAAATATAGAATTTCAAAAAATCTATAGATGTACTGGCATAATTCTATTTTTGAAAGTTACATAGGACTAGAGAAGTGTGGTCCCATCCTATTTGCCGTATAAGATATTGACTTATTACTTAGTTTAGTTTTGTCTTTAATAATAATATCTTTATGTTAGTAATCTCAAACGAATTTCGACTTAATTATCAAATATATTATTTGATAATTAATTTAGAATTCGTTTACTTAAATTATGGACGCCATTATGATGGTCAATTTAAATTGGCAGTGTGTCAATGAATAGATAAAATTAAAAAGAAAAATATTTTAAATATAGAACATGAAAATTAGACTGATACTGACATGATTCTATTTTTTTTTTTAAATTACACAAGACTAGAGGTATGGCCCCCATCCTAATTGCCGTATAACTAAAATAATATTCACTTATTACTTAGTTTAGTTTTTGTCTTTAATAATAATATGTTTATGTTAGTAATCTCAAACGAATTTCGACTTAATTATCAAATTCTAATTATATATTTTTGATTGGAACCAAGGACTTTTATTTTTATAATAGGACTTTGGTAATTAAGTCGACATTTTGAAATTTTAAATGATGCTTTTATAAGCTGTCAATTTGTGTACCAATGCTGCACTGTCAATGGTACTATACCGATTTTTATAAAGTTTTGATATCAAATAGTCATTCCCTGGCACGATTTTTTAAAATGTATTACATTTAGGAATGCATGAAGCATGTATTTGTATTACATACGTTAGTAAAAATGATGTAATGATACTTAGTGATAGTATTCATGAAACTGATATATTTTTAAAGAACATTAAAGCTTGTAGTAGTTATTCTTGTATTAATTATGGTAATTAATTTTTAAATATTTCAGTAAATTGATTCAGAGGTTAGGTGACAAACATGTTAATATTTAGATTTACTTTTATATCTATTCACCTTTACATAGTATAAAATACAGTCGTCATCGGTATTCCCTTACATCTCCTCTATTTCCTAATATCTTTTAAATTACGTAACGGATTTTAATACGGTTTTCAGCTATAGATAGAGTGATTCTAAACGAAGGTTAATATGTATAATACATATGTGTTATTACAGAACAAACCAAGGAAATTAAAGATTTGTAATACCGGATGCATTATTCAATATGCGAGGCTGGACGGATCGTAGTATTAAATAAGTTCGAAATAATAATGGTACTGTTAAAAAATACAAAAAGAACATAATATAAAAACATGGTAACAAAAGGTGGCCTCATCGCTCAAAGCAATCTCTTACAGACAATTAGATGACAAATATGTACAGAAGAATAATTAATAAGATGTACAGACGACAGCGATATTAACCTTTTTATAGAAATTTATATATGTATAAATATTTTGCCTTATATAGGTATATATTTTGATAGTTCTCATTTATTATTATTTCATTTATTTCGGATATTGATCCATCCATATTATGTTAGTAAACAACTTATTAACTATGTTAGTAATTTACAATTTTATATATTTATATTAGTGCACCGACAACAATCTTTCTCTGCTGCATCACTCATGGTCGCCATATGTACACATTATTTTTGTGCATTAAAGTTAAAATAAATATTTCATGAATACTATCACCGTATATTTTATATCAGAACCCGTGATGAGTATGAATGTGTATATGAATGCCCAAAGCATTTTTCTTACTGTACTTTACATGTGTGGTTGTGTATTCCATTCTCAATGTGCAAATCGCAGCAATTTTAATGGTACAATGTATACTGTTAATATGTCAACTGAAAATAAAGATAATAAAAAACAAGTCTTTATCTTATTATATATACACCACTAGTAGTGTTAGCAACGACTGCATCAGTTTTTTTGAGGTAGAAACACTGATATAGAACAATCCGAGAAATTTTAAGATTTGTAATTCAGTACGTTCAGTTCAGTTCAGTACGTCAGTGCGAATTACAAATCTTAAAACTAGGTAGTCAGTAATAAAAAACAGATATTACACTACTATTTTATTAGGAAAACACAATACATTATAGTTCATCTGTATTTTAACAATCAAGTAATTTATGTGTGAAAGTGACGTACATTTGTACTTACATACGAAACTCTATTAAAATAAAATAAAAAGTCAACAAAATTTAGTTGCAATGACATTTTAATCACCACAGATAGGTTATATACAGCAAAATTATCTATTTGCGCCATATATTAAAAAAATAATTAAATAAACTCAACCAATAAGTTCGTAGAGAACTGAAAGTCTGCTCTGGAAATCTAATCTCAATGTAGAACTAAATACACTCTTTTTTTTTTGTACTGTTCGTTTTGAAACTACATTAAAAGTAATCCGAAAAAATCTATAATTATATAAATGTATTCAACATTAGTATTTTTTTAATGAGTAGTAAGGGCTGTCTGAAAACCAGCGCTGTATAGGTGGACCTCATTAAGGTTGTACTTGTATCAGCAACAGCTGAGGCAGCTCCTATTGCCAACTTTGTATGTATTTTTAATTACTTATTTCGTGTATTAATTGTAAATTGTGTTATGTTGGCAATAAATGAATTATCTATCATTGCTTTGCTAGTCAAAAAGGCGGGAATTCCAAAATCATTGGATCAGAAATATTTTCCAGAGTAGACCGTTTGGTCAGTTTATTTCTAACTTTTAGGCGAACATAACCTATCTTTAATATTAAAATGCCATTGTTCATTACCACTAAACTTAACTAGCTCCGAATTATCATTTTGTACCTGTCTAAACACGTACAGCGTTTGACACCTCGTTTACCTATACATTATATTATCTAGCAACCTCCTTCTAAATATATTTAGTTACAATGTAACTGAAATGTTATTTTACATTAGTAAAGTTACGCGCGCAATCTTGATGTAGATTAAAAAACAATCAGTTCTTATGAACCATACACACCACAGACTAATTATATAGTTGCTAACAAAAACTCATTTGTAACAGATTTACATTACTATTCTGCTTTTATATATGGACCATTGCACGGTTGCAATTGAGAACTTTAGAAAATATATACTAGCTGAACCTGCAAACGTTGCTTTCAATATAAATTAAAATAAATATTAAAAATAGGGGTTGGTGATACAAGAGTGAAAGTTTAGACTTGTAGATATTTTTAACGCCACATTATAAAATCTTTATCACTTAAGGGTATGAAAAATAGTGCAATATATAAAACAAAACTGCAAATATTAACCCATTTCAATGGAGAATTGCTTACAGCACAAAAATCTAATTGTCAACGAAATTATTAAACTCAACGACTTCAAACATTATATAGTCATCTGCAAATGCAATTCTCAAAGATTTTTAATTTAACTGCGTCGGTGTGTATGTCCCATTCCATACAATAAATAAGCTCAAAATTTTTCAATGTTGTAAAGTCATATTGTCAACTGCACTTGATACATAGATTAAATAATAAACAACGCAATGTTCACTATATGATGACCATAATGTCTACAAAATTTATTGAAAACTAATAGTTAATAATATTCGTAAGAAGTAAATAATATACATTCAATTCAAATTCAATTATAATTTTGTAATTTTATGATGTAATACAAAATATTATTTTAATAAATAATTAAAACCTATTAACAAATATAACTTTCTATAGCAGTTTCGCATAACATTAATGAATAGTCATGAACAGACAGAAACATTACAAATATATATTAACGCTTGGAAATTAACAAACTGAAATGTGTGGAAAATTAAAAAAAAAGACCTTATAGACCTGGCAACATTCGTATTGTTTTTGTGAGCTCATTCAGATACGGTTTTAAACTAGCAAGGACCGCATCACCTGTCAAAATTAAAAATAAATGCAAAATTAAGAATATTGTAAATTTAAAGCGCATTTCTGTGGAATAATTCCATACTAAATAAAGTGTTAGTTCCTTTTGAGGACTAAACGACTTTATGGGTTCTAATAAAATTTACACGTCGAAACCGCGAGGTCAAAATGATCATAAACAATAAAGTATATATAGATATTTGGTTCCGTATTTTTGTATTTTAGGGTTAGTTCTTGGGTTATTGAATTAATTAGTTACAACTGAATCACAGATTACAAAAGTATAACAAAATTAGACATTACCTATTTTGTATGAACATACAGCAATAAATGGGTACATTTGATTTTAATTTGTGATTTCAATATATTATTAATTGTTTTTTAAACAAATAAATTAGATATTGTACAATGAACTGTATTTTTTCCATTAAAAATTCCTGTTAAAACTTCAATCCAAAAATGACTGAAAATCAGATACAAAATACAATAATGTAAGTATATCTGTTAGAGAAATCATAGACAAGGCTAAAAAGTACACATCAACGTCAATAAGTTTTTTAAACTTTATTGGTCACATGATCAACTTAACATTGTTTATGGTTAAATTATTCTTACATTCCCATACTGATTCATGGTGAAAGCGTTTCAAGAAAGAGTTTCTATCAAGCAATTTAGTTTGGCATACCCATTATAACTAATTTTGTATATGTATATGTATATGTATGTATACATATAAAACCAAGTTCTAATCACGTCTGCTTATATGTTAGTGACAATCTCAAAAACTACCAAACTTTACATGCTTTTCAGCATTATCAGAGCGATTTGTGAAAGTGTATAATTTGTTAAGGTTTGTACAAATTATTTATGTAATTATTTAAAATAACAATTGTTAGTTAATATTGATACGGATAATTAAAACGGTTCCTATGATCAAGTTTAACTTTACAAATAATGAATATAATCATAATTCTAATATTGAGCTTAATTTATCTATGGACTGATGTTTTTTTAACTAACATCGACGGATTTTTATAAAAACAACAATACTTGATACAAGAATTAATATTCTCTGCAAAAAGCAACCGTAGACTTCGAAACGCCTCCAATTATTTGTTTTATACAATTTTGTTTACATAAATTCACGGACGCCATTTTGAATGTAACACAAAAACAAAATGGCGGACGGTCGAAATACCGAAAAACGAAGGCGGAAGTACCTACATTGATGTAATTACACTGACAACGTCTTTACGCCTCGAAGACAGAAATGTACATGGAACAATTTCACTTGCGTAACAATCCTACTAATCAAAACGGATTTACCATCACGCCGTGGTCGTTAGGGGGTTGGCGGCGGCTATTGACTCGACCGTCTTCGTTTCCACGACCTCCGGAGCCCCGTTCACTTCCTTCTCCATTTCCACGTCGTTTAATTTCTCCAAGTTATCTTCTTGGGACTCTTGGGACTTTGTCTCGCTGTCCGTCTCTTGGCTGGAGTCCGTTTCGGTCTTGTCTTCTTTTGTTTCTGTTGTTTCTGATTGTGTGTTCGCTGTGGCCGGTTCCGTGACGGTTTCGGTTTCTGTCTTCTCTGGTTCTTTTTCTTGGGTGTTGTCTGTATTTGAATATTTTATTTGTTATTATTAAAAAAATATAAAAATTTACTATTAAACGTTTTCACTAGTTTGTGAACAGGGGCGCGGATGATCAATGTCAGTCAGATTTTCCTACAAATTCCAGCGGATCTCCATAATGGACACACACACAGCCGTGTGTGTCGGCCTCTATAATAGGGCTACTTGCTGGCCAATCATAAGATAATTATGACAAAGAGCAATTTACTACAAAAGTAGAGACAAATATGATAGACTGTTGGGATTATTTGTAAAATATAAATGACCATGGACAATTAATACAGCGCCATCTAGACCCACTAACTGACCGTTCAAGGATGGTTTGTTTTTTATACTACGACGTTAGTAAAGAAGCATGCGATCCATCTGATGTTAAACGGTTACCGTATCCTATGGATGCCTGAAACTCACCAGTTTCGTCTACTTCCATTGGCGTCTCTTTCTTTTCGTCACCGTTTAGTTTCTGAAACGGGTACTAAATATTAGTATTTTAATAATTATTAACACAAAAAAAGTGACGGACAAACATTCATATTTGTTATTTCCCTTATCCATACTATATATACTAATATAATAAATATAAATGTTACTGTTATTTTTTCAGAATAAAACGGCTTAAGACATTATATAGTACTGCAAGATCCCGAAGGCTGCCTGGAGATCTTACTACTTACTTACTATTATTAGTTTACTTTCATTTTTTCAAAAATTTTTTTCTTGAGAGCAGAAAAATGAAGATATATATTCAGCCGTTCTTTTGTGAAAATATAACTGACGTAAAAAAAAATTAAGAGTTTCACGATTGACTCGGAACTACTAAAAAAAATGATACAAAAAGAATCTAGTGTATGTTAGGATAATATATGGAATACTCAACAAATATGCAACTATAGTATGAAAATTACCACGTAACGACCCGAACCTGTAACTCTACGTAACCAACACCCTACCTTACAATATCTACACATGACGTCACAATTTTTTATAGTTTAATCGTATACATTACGTATTCAATGGTGCCTTGCCAGCGTACATCGTTGTGCTACACTTGTAATATTTCTGTCAATATTCGGCACACTTCCATTAGTTTACCTCTCCAGATAACATAGATTTAAGTTGTGCCTACACTTGTAATATTTCTGTTAACACCAGACACCCTTCCATTAGTTTACCTCTCCAGATAACATAGATTTAAGTTGTGCCTACACTTGTAATATTTCTGTCGACACTTGACACCCTTCCATTAGTTTACGTCTCCACTAACATAGATTTAAGTTAAGTGTAAAATCAGTCTACGTCCCGACTCCGCGTCGACTGGACGCGTTATTAAAAAACCAGCATCGTGGCTTACCGTCACGACATATGCTGAGCGGAGACTTATTTGGTACTGTAAAATTAATATAAACCGATAAAATGTAAATTAAAATTTAAAAATTATTTTCAGTGTACCAAACAAACAATTTTCTTTCTTTCAATAAACTTAATAATGTCTAATAAATAGTGCAATCATTTTACTGGTACACTCACTACCTACATACTACAACAAATAATATATTATGTAGCGCCACCTCATCACAACACATATATAACCATACAGTGATGAGTATAACCACCGCGCTACACCGTTAACGCAGGTGGATGCACCATTCCACTGTCATCCATTTAAGAATATACATTATGTATGTGAATTTTCTACCTTACTCAACGCTTCAACAATAAAATTAATGTTAGTAATCTAGATGTATAATACAATACTTTAAAATAAACCATATTTCAACATTTACAACATATTTAAATCACAAGCTGACCCAGAGGTGTGTAGGGGCTTTGGAAAGTCAGTTATTTTAAACCTGGGCGCGGTTTTTTAAAACTTATTACTAAATATATATATTTCAAACTATTCTGATGCTGTTGGACGTTAGGAGCGAGTGCAGATGGCACTCCAAACTAAAGGGAGGACTTATGGAGCGGGTGCAGGTCAGCTCCTGGCTTACGGATAGGTGCTTAATATGCTGTAACACATTTTTCAGGTAGGGTCCCCACTCCCCTCGGGTAGGCCTATGATTCAAATAACGTTCAGACTAATATCATACAGTATAATTTATAGGTATGGGCGTAGCCACAGTAGGACAGGGTGGGGCGCCCCTACCCTGTAAGGTACGTAACCAAATCTAAAAACAAAAATTATCTAAATACTAACTACGATACTTAATATCCATAAGAAAGTTCATACTCGACAGTCGGGGCTGAATGAGGATTGTTACTAATGTGGACTGATGATCTTACTGCTAGCAATATACCATGTCAAGTTGGTCTTCAAGCGGTTTCCACTGGAAACTATGGTGGTAAATTCTTAGTGAATTTGCCACGGTGGGCTAACTGACCTGACCTTATGCTCATCTTATCATCCTCCTCTGGTGCCCCGCCAGCGTAAACGGTTAGCGTAGGTGGGTGCACCATTCCATTATCATCCATAAAAAAAATCGACAGTCGACACAAAAAATAACATACAGATACAGGGTGTTGTAGGGTTAACATACAGATACAGGGTGTTGTAGGGTGTAACTGTTTTGTATGATAAAAGTAACCGTGATTAGACTGCGGGTAGAGTTTGCTAGTTACATAATATTTTAGACTGCTCCACCCTGAACCCATGGCTGGCTACGCCCATGTTCATAGCTAACAGTTTAAATGAAGTAGGCAGCATTACGCTCTCTTTTTTCTTGACTTGGAGCTCGTCGACGACATACGCCTCTTCCTACCCTATACCGTTACAATAAGGTTTAAATTTCAATAGCAAAATAATAAGTCATGACAATACACACAGCGCCATCTAGTGCCAAACTAAGCAGAGCTTGTACAATGCTTACTCTCCCTAGTACCGTAATACCTAACACGGTATTCTTTATAATGAATTTTCATATGACGCGATATCAATCCTACGTATAACTGGGGCGGGAAATCCTCGCGTTATATTTCTGCACTGTGTGATTTATAATGATTTGTTTTTTTAGGTCATATGCATATTTTTTTTATTTAAAATGTTCTTAGTTTAGTTTTATTTTAATACAACGTACATATTTTGTTCAGAATATTGCTATACCAATAAAATAAAAAAAAAACGATTTTTAATACTTTTTATATAGATAGAAAATACTTAATACGAATATTATGTAATAATATAAACAATCATACTCATGAATATAAATGTTTGGATCGTTCGAGAAACGAACTCGCGACCACCTAAAGTAAGGCGGAGTGCTAAACCACTAGATTACTGGAGACGCCTGCTTAGTTTGAGACTAAATGGCGTAATATATACATATTAACAAAGGGGTAGAATCCATAAGTTATGACACAGAAATTTAATTATATTTTAACCCTTTTCGTCCTTGTCACAGTTCGTCACATTCCATACTTTTCCCTCTTGCTGTCACGTCACATATTTTGGTACTTTTGGTATCTATTGTCTAGAAATGTTAACACAGTATATTGAAACATGTTTACAGTAAAATAATTATCAAAATAAACATGTGAGAATATTTATATATATCACAGAATTTAAAATGTGAAGTCACATAACTTATCGACTCATTCACCGTTTGTCACACAATGTCACACTTCATCGGTAAAATAATAAATCTTATTTAATAAATCATACTTCAATTAGAGAACTTGAAATGTGTAATCACATAACTTATGGACTCCTCCCACCCATTGTCACATAATGTCACACTTCATCGGATCCTACTCGTCCCTTAACTTATTATATTTTTTAATGGCTAATAATTCTCTGCCCACCTTATATAATAACAAAATAAATTTAGCTGTTGTTCTGGGCACCATCATAGTTATTTCCTGGTGATATTATCACAATATCATCTCCACTCACCCGTCAGACCCGTGACTCATCAGAGTAAACAATTCCTTTATCATCCAGGACTAAAAAAATTCCAGGGAAATTGCAACTCAGTTGTCAGTTTTAAGAATGAATATACTCTTTTCTTTACGCTTTCAAATTAGTATTAAATGTAAAATTATTTACAAAATATAGAGCTTATAAGTGAACACGAAATTCATTTTATATATTTGCAATAAAAAAAAATATTGCATAACATACCTGTGGTTTATTTTCTTCTGCGACCTCCGATGGTTGCGCACTCGACGTGGAGGTGACTTCATCTTCTTGATCTTGCTTTTTTTGCCGTTTATTCGGCCGTCCTTTGGGTTTTTCGGGTACTTTTTCATTCTCCTCTTCTATTTCTTCTTCGTCTTCTTTTTGTTCTGCCGTTTCTTGTTCTGGTTCTGGGGAATCTTCTTTTGGGCCTGATGGGTCTTCCTATACAGATTAAGTTTGAAATTTAAAAAAAAGTAGATTACTTTATTGTAACTAATCAAAAAGTAGTACTTTAGTAGATTAATTAAATTTTTTACTATTTTATATTTCACAAAGTGTTACTTTTGGGCGGTTTTTTTTAGTTTTATACATACATAAAATTCAGTCAATACTAGATATTGAATGATATGATTCACTGTCATGCTTTTAGGTACCTACTCAAACATTAAATATTTGTACGCTTTATATAAACCATTTTGAAAGGGCTGTAGTACTGAGTACAGTTTGTAGGGCTGAGTACAGACCTGCAGTAATAGTGTGTGCTGTCCCCCCGCGGAGACCAGCAGGGCGTGTGGCAGGATGAGGGTGGGTTCGTTGGCGTCACTGGAGGCTCCGGTACCGAGCTGACCTTCGCTTCCCATGCCCCACGCGTACAGCTCCCCTAAAACAGATAAAAAAAAATATTTAAATAAAAAAAATGACTATAGTTTAGGGGTAAGTAATGATAAAAAGTTATGACCTGCAAAATTTTCTTTACACATTTTCACCCACTAAAAGTGATTTCGTTCACAACGCTTTCTGTTTATACATAAAGGATAACTGGCACAGTATGCCAAATGTCATTAGGCTCGTCTTTTGTACAAGCTGTAATGTTCAATTAAGATTAAATAAACCATTGCTAGAATGACATATAACCTGACGGTTGACCTGTACCCGGTCTATAAAAACTAATAAAAAGTTATTATTACCTGTGTCGGTAACAGCGAAGGAATTACTGATGCCGGCCGCTATACTGATGCACTTTTTGTTCTCAAGCTTGGGAACTGGCTCTGGTACCTCTGCGTCACCGACCCGATCGCCGAGACCTAATCTGTTTGAAAATATAAATATGAATAATTTAGATATACTATATTTGTCTATATTGATCCATTATCGAAACGCAAGATGATATTCCTACCATAACAAATGTAATTAATTTAATTTTAAATTATCATAATGTATTAATGTGTACAAAAAATATTATGGTTTTTATAGATTTTAAATTAAATAAATTATTACCTTACATTTTGAATCTATTATAATACATACCGAAATAATTAGGAAATATATATAAAGTATGTATGGTTTTACAATCCATAAATTAGTAATGTAAGCACTTTTGAATAGTTATATTTTTCCGGCGGAGTACGCGCCGCAGTCCACTTGCCAGTGGATTGCGTTGTATTCGGCTATGTACGCGCCACACTCCGCTGTTTACGCGACGAGTACCTGCCATGCCCGCATGCCACTGACGAGTATACGAGGGCCCTAGTGTCCGGCGTGTACCTGCCGTACTCGCAGCGTCCGACGGCCCGCAGCCGTCCGGCGCCGTCGACTGCCAGCGAGTGGTGTTGTCCGGCTGCGAGGGCCCTAGTGTCCGGCGTGTACCTGCCGTACTCGCAGCGTCCGACGGCCCGCAGCCGTCCGGCGCCGTCGACTGCCAGCGAGTGGTGTTGTCCGGCTGTGTCCGGCGTGTACCTGCCGTACTCGCAGCGTCCGACGGCCCGCAGCCGTCCGGCGCCGTCGACTGCCAGCGAGTGGTGCTGTCCGGCTGCGAGGGCCCTAGTGTCCGGCGTGTACCTGCCGTACTCGCAGCGTCCGACGGCCCGCAGCCGTCCGGCGCCGTCGACTGCCAGCGAGTGGTGTTGTCCGGCTGCGAGGGCCCTAGTGTCCGGCGTGTACCTGCCGTACTCGCAGCGTCCGACGGCCCGCAGCCGTCCGGCGCCGTCGACTGCCAGCGAGTGGTGTTGTCCGGCTGCGAGGGCCCTAGTGTCCGGCGTGTACCTGCCGTACTCGCAGCGTCCGACGGCCCGCAGCCGTCCGGCGCCGTCGACTGCCAGCGAGTGGTGTTGTCCGGCTGCGAGGGCCCTAGTGTCCGGCGTGTACCTGCCGTACTCGCAGCGTCCGACGGCCCGCAGCCGTCCGGCGCCGTCGACTGCCAGCGAGTGGTGTTGTCCGGCTGCGAGGGCCCTAGTGTCCGGCGTGTACCTGCCGTACTCGCAGCGTCCGACGGCCCGCAGCCGTCCGGCGCCGTCGACTGCCAGCGAGTGGTGTTGTCCGGCTGCGAGGGCCCTAGTGTCCGGCGTGTACCTGCCGTACTCGCAGCGTCCGACGGCCCGCAGCCGTCCGGCGCCGTCGACTGCCAGCGAGTGGTGTTGTCCGGCTGCGAGGGCCCTAGTGTCCGGCGTGTACCTGCCGTACTCGCAGCGTCCGACGGCCCGCAGCCGTCCGGCGCCGTCGACTGCCAGCGAGTGGTGTTGTCCGGCTGCGAGGGCCCTAGTGTCCGGCGTGTACCTGCCGTACTCGCAGCGTCCGACGGCCCGCAGCCGTCCGGCGCCGTCGACTGCCAGCGAGTGGTGTTGTCCGGCTGCGAGGGCCCTAGTGTCCGGCGTGTACCTGCCGTACTCGCAGCGTCCGACGGCCCGCAGCCGTCCGGCGCCGTCGACTGCCAGCGAGTGGTGCTGTCCGGCTGCGAGGGCCCTCCATGGTGCGCCGCTGGTCGGGAACGCATCGCACTCCACGGGCGAGTACAGAGCAGTCTTGCGCTTCTCCCCCGTTATACCTGTACAATCGATAAATATACTATTATATGACTGAAATCGTAAACAGGCTGATGATATGACTTAGCGATAAGGGTCCATGGTTGCCTCTTTTTCTTGCTCATTGTCATAGATTTATACATTTATAAATAATATGTAGCATATGTAAACAGGTAGGTACTTACCGAGTTGTCCATAATTATTTAACCCCCAGGCGAAGAGTTTCTCCTTGGTGGCATCTAGTGCAAAGGTTGCATGGTAGCCCGCCCACACCTTGGACGCTCCACCCTTCAAGGTCACCTTCGATGGCACCAATAGGGCGCCTTGAAACAACATTAAATAATTTTATTTATTTATTCATTCTTCAATAATTGATTTTTAAACCAACTTTTGGGAGTTGCCGATCTTTTAAAGCAAATAGACTGCTTCACAGTCGGGAATTTGGTTTCACGGCCGGTAAATCTACTAACGCTGGTGTAGCTTTAATGAAACACATTTTTGACTGTGGGGAGAGGTCTCAGGATGCTATCGGTGTATTCTGTTACCTCTCAAAAGCATTTGATTGCGTCAATCACGAAACTCTCTCACACTCAAACTAGAACATTACGGTATTAAAAATGAATCTCTAAAGATGATTAAATCCTATTTAGATAATAGAATGCAAATTGTTGAAATAAATGGTGCAAGGTCCGAAGGTTCCAGTGTTAAAATGGGTGTTCCTCAGGGATCTATTCTTGGTCCTTTTTTATTTTTAGTTCACATTAATGACCTTCCTTACATGGTAGAAATAATAGCAGACATAGTTCTGTTTGCCGATGATACTTCATTAATATGACATATTAATGATATAAAAGAAGTAAACAGTGCTCTCTTCTGTTTTAAAATGGTTTACTGCTAATAATATGCTATTAAATGGAGATAAAACAATGTGTATTAAATTTACGCTCCCCAATGTAAGGAAGGTCGAGTCAAAAATCATACTGAACAATAAACTTATTAACTTTGTTGATGATACTGTATTTCTTGGTATCACATTAGACTCCAAACTGTTCATATTTCTAAATTAGCGACGAATACACTTAGTTCTGCCGCTTATGCGGTAAGAAGAATTAGACAATTAACAGACATGGCAACGGCTAAACTCATGTATTTTAGCTATTTTCATAGCATTATGTCAAACGGTATTTTATTATGGGGCAAAGCAGCTGATATAAATACAGTATTTATATTGCAAAAGAGGGCCATCCACTCCATTTATGGTATGGGTTCCAATGAGTCTGCGTGAATGTTTTAAAGAATCAAATATCCTCACCGTTGCTTCTCAATACATCTACGAAAATATTATGTATGCCAGGAAAAACATTAAGTCTTAAAAAAGGAGGTGATTACACTAATAAAAGCTTACGTAATGTCAACAAACTAGTTTTACCTAAGTACCGTTTCGCTCTTATTTCGCTGGTTATTTTTATTTCGTAATTGGTGGGTACTTTGTTTATAAAGTTAATTTTATACTCACTAAATCCTTGTCTAGCTTCTCTGGACGCTGACCGCTGTGAGAGTCTGCCCAGCTGACCTTGTTCTCCGCAACCCATTGTGTACACAGAGCCGGATGTCTGTAAATACAATTTGTTATTAGTAACAATCAATTCATTGCCACTAGGTCCTTTATGTAACTGTTATTATTATTAATATAGTTAATTAGGTCTTCATATCAATAATTATAAGTTAAATACAATAACAGAATTACTTTTGCTCATAAATTAAACAATTTATATGTTTAAGTTCCTCGTTATTAGTAGATAATTTTGGATATCACGTAATCGTGTCTCTCATTACTTTCAACATTATCAAATTTAATCATTTTAAATACAGAATAGTTAAAATTTTGTTGTTTAATATTCAAATTGAATTGTGTGGTACGAAATGTAAGATTTTTCCCAGTTTATCAGATGAGATATCCTCGATATCCTGATTTTTTGTACGGAGCTTATGATCCAACTCGTTGTTACACATTGTCGACTCTTCCAACACGTTGTCACATGTTATCGACTGCTCCGAGGCGAGGTCGGCGGCGGGCTCGGGCAGCCGTCTCCTCTGCAGCTGTACCTACGGACGAGGGAGGAGTAGGTGGGGAGTGACCGTGAGCAGCACGAGGTGGTCGGCCCCCGAGGCGAGGTCGGCGGCGGGCTCGGGCAGCCGTCTCCTCTGCAGCTGTACCTACGGACGAGGGAGGAGTAGGTGGGGAGTGACCGTGAGCAGCACGAGGTGGTCGGCCCCCGAGGCGAGGTCGGCGACGGGCTCGGGCAGCGGCACGCGCACCGGCTCGCGGCTCGGCACCGCCGCCCGCCCGCGGATCACCAGCCCCATGCTGCCGTGGGAGTCCTGCCGACAAATTGTATTCTTTTATTTACACTCCATATCGCGATTACAAACACGACAATATATATTCTCGCGCCCCGCGGAGAGTGAGGAGCGAGGAGAGCGACGTACCCGGAAGGAGCCCCACACGTACACGTCCCCGGAGGCGAGCGGGGCGGCGGAGAGTGAGGAGCGAGGAGAGCGACGTACCCGGAAGGAGCCCCACACGTACACGTCCCCGGAGGCGAGGAGGGCGGCGGAGAGTGAGGAGCGAGGAGAGCGACGTACCCGGAAGGAGCCCCACACGTACACGTCCCCGGAGGCGAGGAGGGCGGCGGAGAGTGAGGAGCGAGGAGAGCGACGTACCCGGAAGGAGCCCCACACGTACACGTCCCCGGAGGCGAGCAGGGCGGCGGAGAGTGAGGAGCGAGGAGAGCGACGTACCCGGAAGGAGCCCCACACGTACACGTCCCCGGAGGCGAGCGGGGCGGCGGAGAGTGAGGAGCGAGGAGAGCGACGTACCCGGAAGGAGCCCCACACGTACACGTCCCCGGAGGCGAGGAGGGCGGCGGAGAGTGAGGAGCGAGGAGAGCGACGTACCCGGAAGGAGCCCCACACGTACACGTCCCCGGAGGCGAGGAGGGCGGCGGAGAGTGAGGAGCGAGGAGAGCGACGTACCCGGAAGGAGCCCCACACGTACACGTCCCCGGAGGCGAGCGGGGCGGCGGAGAGTGAGGAGCGAGGAGAGCGACGTACCCGGAAGGAGCCCCACACGTACACGTCCCCGGAGGCGCGCGGGGCGGCTCAGATAGAGGAGCGAGGAGAGCGACGTACCCGGAAGGAGCCCCACACGTACACGTCCCCGGAGGCGAGGTGGGCGGCGGAGAGTGAGGAGCGAGGAGAGCGACGTACCCGGAAGGAGCCCCACACGTACACGTCCCCGGAGGCGAGCTGGGCGGCGGAGAGTGAGGAGCGAGGAGAGCGACGTACCCGGAAGGAGCCCCACACGTACACGTCCCCGGAGGTGCGGAGGGCGGCGGAGAGTGAGGAGCGAGGAGAGCGACGTACCCGGAAGGAGCCCCACACGTACACGTCCCCGGAGGCGAGCAGGGCGGCGGAGAGTGAGGAGCGAGGAGAGCGACGTACCCGGAAGGAGCCCCACACGTACACGTCCCCGGAGGTGAGGAGGGCGGCGGAGAGTGAGGAGCGAGGAGAGCGACGTACCCGGAAGGAGCCCCACACGTACACGTCCCCGGAGGCGAGGAGGGCGGCGGAGAGTGAGGAGCGAGGAGAGCGACGTACCCGGAAGGAGCCCCACACGTACACGTCCCCGGAGGCGAGCGGGGCGGCGGAGAGTGAGGAGCGAGGAGAGCGACGTACCCGGAAGGAGCCCCACACGTACACGTCCCCGGAGGCGAGGAGGGCGGCGGAGAGTGAGGAGCGAGGAGAGCGACGTACCCGGAAGGAGCCCCACACGTACACGTCCCCGGAGGCGAGCGGGGCGGCGGAGAGTGAGGAGCGAGGAGAGCGACGTACCCGGAAGGAGCCCCACACGTACACGTCCCCGGAGGCGAGGAGGGCGGCGGAGAGTGAGGAGCGAGGAGAGCGACGTACCCGGAAGGAGCCCCACACGTACACGTCCCCGGAGGCGAGCGGGGCGGCGGAGAGTGAGGAGCGAGGAGAGCGACGTACCCGGAAGGAGCCCCACACGTACACGTCCCCGGAGGCTCTGATAGGGCGGCGGAGAGTGAGGAGCGAGGAGAGCGACGTACCCGGAAGGAGCCCCACACGTACACGTCCCCGGAGGCGAGGTGGGCGGCGGAGAGTGAGGAGCGAGGAGAGCGACGTACCCGGAAGGAGCCCCACACGTACACGTCCCCGGAGGCGAGCAGCGCGGCGGAGAGTGAGGAGCGAGGAGAGCGACGTCCCAGGCTGTAGCCCCACTCGTCCACGTCCGCGGCGGCGTGGGGCGGCGGAGAGTGAGGAGCGAGGAGAGCGACGTACCCGGAAGGAGCCCCACACGGCCACGTCCCCGGAGGCGAGGCGGGCGGCGGAGAGTGAGGAGCGAGGAGAGCGACGTACCCGGAAGGAGCCCCACACGTACACGTCCCCGGAGGTGAGGAGGGCGGCGGAGAGTGAGGAGCGAGGAGAGCGACGTACCCGGAAGGAGCCCCACACGTACACGTCCCCGGAGGCGAGGAGGGCGGCGGAGAGTGAGGAGCGAGGAGAGCGACGTACCCGGAAGGAGCCCCACACGTACACGTCCCCGGAGGCGAGCGGGGCGGCGGAGAGTGAGGAGCGAGGAGAGCGACGTACCCGGAAGGAGCCCCACACGTACACGTCCCCGGAGGCGAGGAGGGCGGCGGAGAGTGAGGAGCGAGGAGAGCGACGTACCCGGAAGGAGCCCCACACGTACACGTCCCCGGAGGCGAGCGGGGCGGCGGAGAGTGAGGAGCGAGGAGAGCGACGTACCCGGAAGGAGCCCCACACGTACACGTCCCCGGAGGGGAGGAGGGCGGCGGAGAGTGAGGAGCGAGGAGAGCGACGTACCCGGAAGGAGCCCCACACGTACACGTCCCCGGAGGTGAGGAGGGCGGCGGAGAGTGAGGAGCGAGGAGAGCGACGTACCCGGAAGGAGCCCCACACGTACACGTCCCCGGAGGCGAGGAGGGCGGCGGAGAGTGAGGAGCGAGGAGAGCGACGTACCCGGAAGGAGCCCCACACACACGTACACGTCCCCGGAGGCGAGCAGGGCGGCGGAGAGTGAGGAGCGAGGAGAGCGACGTACCCGGAAGGAGCCCCACACGTACACGTCCCCGGAGGGCGGCAGAGCCCCCGACAGAACTCAGCGAGCCGAGCACCGTACCCGGAAGGAGCCCCACACGTACACGTCCCCGGAGGGGAGGGGGGCGCCGGAGAGTGAGGTGCGGGCAGAGCGACGTAACCGGAAGGAGCCCCACACGTACACGTCCCCGGAGGTGTTGAGGGCGGCGGAGAGTGAGGAGCGAGGAGAGCGACGTACCCGGAAGGAGCCCCACACGTACACGTCCCCGGAGGCGAGGAGGGCGGCGGAGAGTGAGGAGCGAGGAGAGCGACGTACCCGGAAGGAGCCCCACACGTACACGTCCCCGGAGGCGAGCGGGGCGGCGGAGAGTGAGGAGCGAGGAGAGCGACGTACCCGGAAGGAGCCCCACACGTACACGTCCCCGGAGGCGAGGAGGGCGGCGGAGAGTGAGGAGCGAGGAGAGCGACGTACCCGGAAGGAGCCCCACACGTACACGTCCCCGGAGGAGAGGAGGGCGGCGGAGAGTGAGGAGCGAGGAGAGCGACGTACCCGGAAGGAGCCCCACACGTACACGTCCCCGGAGGCGAGGAGGGCGGCGGAGAGTGAGGAGCGAGGAGAGCGACGTACCCGGAAGGAGCCCCACACGTACACGTCCCCGGAGGCGAGCGGGGCGGCGGAGAGTGAGGAGCGAGGAGAGCGACGTACCCGGAAGGAGCCCCACACGTACACGTCCCCTCAGGACTGCGAGTGGGCGGCGGAGAGTGAGGAGCGAGGAGAGCGACGTACCCGGAAGGAGCCCCACACGTACACGTCCCCGGAGGCGAGGGGGGCGGCGGAGAGTGAGGAGCGAGGAGAGCGACGTACCCGGAAGGAGCCCCACACGTACACGTCCCCGGAGGCGAGCGGGGCGGCGGAGAGTGTGGAGCGATGAGCGCGACGTACCCGTAAGGAGCCCCACACGTACACGTCCCCGGAGGCGAGCAGGGCGGCGGAGAGTGAGGAGCGAGGAGAAATACGTACCCGGAAGGAGCCCCACACGTACACGTCCCCGGAGGCGAGCAGGGCGGCGGAGAGTGAGGAGCGAGGAGAGCGACGTACCCGGAAGGAGCCCCACACGTACACGTCCCCGTAGGCGGTCGGGTCGTCGGAGAGAGAGGAGCGAGGAGAGCGACGTACCCGGAAGGAGCCCCACACGTACACGTCCCCGTAGGCGCTCAGGGCCGCGGAGAGTGAGGAGCGAGGAGAGCGACGTACCCGGAAGGAGCCCCACACGTACACGTCCCCGGAGGCGAGGAGGGCGGCGGAGAGTGAGGAGCGAGGAGAGCGACGTACCCGGAAGGAGCCCCACACGTACACGTCCCCGGAGGCGAGCGGGGCGGCGGAGAGTGAGGAGCGAGGAGAGCGACGTACCCGGAAGGAGCCCCACACGTACACGTCCCCGGAGGCGAGCGGGGCGGCGGAGAGTGAGGAGCGAGGAGAGCGACGTACCCGGAAGGAGCCCCACACGTACACGTCCCCGGAGGCGAGGAGGGCGGCGGAGAGTGAGGAGCGAGGAGAGCGACGTACCCGGAAGGAGCCCCCACGTACACACACGTACCCGGAAGGAGCCCCACCCACGGAGGCGAGCGGGGCGGCGGAGAGTGAGGAGCGAGGAGAGCGACGTACCCGGAAGGAGCCCCACACGTACACGTCCCCGGAGGCGAGGAGGGCGGCGGAGAGTGAGGAGCGAGGAGAGCGACGTACCCGGAAGGAGCCCCACACGTACACGTCCCCGTCTGGAATCCAGTCACAGAATACGAACCGGGGAGAGCGACGTACCCGGAAGGAGCCCCACACGTACACGTCCCCGGAGGCGAGCAGGGCGGCGGAGAGTGAGGAGCGAGGAGAGCGACGTACCCGGAAGGAGCCCCACACGTACACGTCCCCGGAGGCGAGCAGGGCGGCGGAGAGTGAGGAGCGAGGAGAGCGACGTACCCGGAAGGAGCCCCACACGTACACGTCCCCGGAGGCGAGGAGGGCGGCGGAGAGTGAGGAGCGAGGAGAGCGACGTACCCGGAAGGAGCCCCACACGTACACGTCCCCGGAGGCGAGCGGGGCGGCGGAGAGTGAGGAGCGAGGAGAGCGACGTACCCGGAAGGAGCCCCACACGTACACGTCCCCGGAGGCGAGGAGGGCGGCGGAGAGTGAGGAGCGAGGAGAGCGACGTACCCGGAAGGAGCCCCACACGTACACGTCCCCGGAGGCGAGCGGGGCGGCGGAGAGTGAGGAGCGAGGAGAGCGACGTACCCGGAAGGAGCCCCACACGTACACGTCCCCGGAGGCGAGGAGGGCGGCGGAGAGTGAGGAGCGAGGAGAGCGACGTACCCGGAAGGAGCCCCACACGTACACGTCCCCGGAGGCGAGCGGGGCGGCGGAGAGTGAGGAGCGAGGAGAGCGACGTACCCGGAAGGAGCCCCACACGTACACGTCCCCGGAGGCGAGGAGGGCGGCGGAGAGTGAGGAGCGAGGAGAGCGACGTACCCGGAAGGAGCCCCACACGTACACGTCCCCGGAGGCGAGGAGGGCGGCGGAGAGTGAGGAGCGAGGAGAGCGACGTACCCGGAAGGAGCCCCACACGTACACGTCCCCGGAGGCGAGAGGGCGGCGGAGAGTGAGGAGCGAGGAGAGCGACGTACCCGGAAGGAGCCCCACACGTACACGTCCCCGGAGGTGAGGAGGGCGGCGGAGAGTGAGGAGCGAGGAGAGCGACGTACCCGGAAGGAGCCCCACACGTACACGTCCCCGGAGGCGAGGAGGGCGGCGGAGAGTGAGGAGCGAGGAGAGCGACGTACCCGGAAGGAGCCCCACACGTACACGTCCCCGGAGGCGATGGGAGGGCGGCGGAGAGTGAGGAGCGAGGAGAGCGACGTACCCGGAAGGAGCCCCACACGTACACGTCCCCGGAGGCGAGCGGGGCGGCGGAGAGTGAGGAGCGAGGAGAGCGACGTACCCGGAAGGAGCCCCACACGTACACGTCCCCGGAGGTGAGGAGGGCGGCGGAGAGTGAGGAGCGAGGAGAGCGACGTACCCGGAAGGAGCCCCACACGTACACGTCCCCGGAGGCGAGGAGGGCGGCGGAGAGTGAGGAGCGAGGAGAGCGACGTACCCGGAAGGAGCCCCACACGTACACGTCCCCGGAGGCGAGCAGGGCGGCGGAGAGTGAGGAGCGACGTACCCGGAAGGGAGTACAGTCCCCGGAGGCGGAGGGCGGCGGAGAGTGAGGAGAGCGAGACGACCCGGAAGGAGCCCCACACGTACACGTCCCCGGAGGCGAGCGGGGCGGCGGAGAGTGAGGAGCGAGGAGAGCGACGTACCCGGAAGGAGCCCCACACGTACACGTCCCCGGAGGCGAGGAGGGCGGCGGAGAGTGAGGAGCGAGGAGAGCGACGTACCCGGAAGGAGCCCCACACGTACACGTCCCCGGAGGCGAGCGGGGCGGCGGAGAGTGAGGAGCGAGGAGAGCGACGTACCCGGAAGGAGCCCCACACGTACACGTCCCCGGAGGCGAGGAGGGCGGCGGAGAGTGAGGAGCGAGGAGAGCGACGTACCCGGAAGGAGCCCCACACGTACACGTCCCCGGAGGCGAGCGGGGCGGCGGAGAGTGAGGAGCGAGGAGAGCGACGTACCCGGAAGGAGCCCCACACGTACACGTCCCCGGAGGCGAGGAGGGCGGCGGAGAGTGAGGAGCGAGGAGAGCGACGTACCCGGAAGGAGCCCCACACGTACACGTCCCCGGAGGCGAGCGGGGCGGCGGAGAGTGAGGAGCGAGGAGAGCGACGTACCCGGAAGGAGCCCCACACGTACACGTCCCCGGAGGCGAGGAGGGCGGCGGAGTGCGAGTCCCCGGCCGCGAGCCGCAGCGCCCGCGCCGGCAGTGTGACGCCCCGCGGCGCCGCCTCCTCCGCTTCTCCGGAGGTCTGTCTGCCGAGCGCGCCCTCGTCGTTACACCCGAACGTCCACACCTGCGACAGGTCCACACAACATTTGTAAAAAGAAACACAAGAAATTAATTATAACTTTGAGCTATCCATAAATTACGTCACTTGTTGAGAGGGAGAGTATATCGATACAGTGTGACATTTTGTGACAAAGGGTAACCTTATCCATAGACCTTGTCACACTTTGTCGACTAAGGACTCCTAAATTTCCTGATATGACAGAGGTAATAGAAATAGAAATAATCTTTATTCAAATAAACTTAATATAATCACTTTTGAATAGTCAAATTTTTTTATTCTACCGCTTATTCGGAATGCAGATTCATCACAAGAATAATCAAAAGACTTGTGTGTTGCTCTTTTAAATAAATATTGATTTACTTATATTTAATTAACAACAAGGATTAGGCATGCGACAATCAACATAGAAACCGCTACGCACTTAATCTCTGTTCAAGTAATCACTGGTAACACCACTCAAGGCGGGTGGAAAGGATGCAGCCTCGAGGCCTCCCATTGTCACGGCATTTGCTTCGGGAACAACAATACCCACGAGTATTGTTGAATGCTATTCTATCTGAATTAAAAACCTCTTGCTAGGCAGGTTGATACAATTAACTTATAAAAGCTAGAAACTTAATTTCAATATCAAATAAATATACCGATGCAAAGTATGTGACGTCAAACAAAGAGGGAAGCCTCATAAATATGACTAATTTTACAAGGAAAGTACAAGGACTGGGAAAGTTGACGTTTTTGCTATTGAATATTGTTATGAAAAACTTACTACTACTAACTAAACTATAAACTACTTACTTTATATTTATGAATTATACCACTCGTGTGGCGTAATTTAGAAAAGTACAAAATCATAATATATATAATGTAATAAGTTTTTCATAACAATATTCGATAGCAAAAACGTCAACCTTCCCAACATCTCTATTTACTCTCTAAGTATATTTTGTGCTTGTCAGATTTGAACTCACAACCTCTTGGGTTACATTTAAAAGATGACTACCTAAATCAATAGGCCTCGACGCACTCATGACGTGCAATTCATGAAAATAGCACGATGGTGTGAAACTACCATGCGTTTGTCGGATGCAAAAATTTTGTCTCAACCTCGATAACGTTTAAACTTAGAGGCCCTCCTTTAAGTTTAAACGTTATCGAGGTTCATCATATTTTTTTATTATTTATTATTAAAAACAACAAAGATTTGAAATTAAAATTGTTGTGTGCCCAGGATAGCTTTAGCGCACACAGGGCCATATATTATATAATTACTTTATGCTAAATTTATAACAGGTATACAATTATAAAATTTATTACACTAATTTGTAATCTACTAACAAATGATTAACCAAACAATCAATAAATACAGTATAATCTTTTAACAATTGTATGTAATTGAGTATGCGTTGAGCTTAATTAAGCTAAAATATTAAATAATTGAGGGTAGGTATACCATACATGTAGATATAGTACCCGTTATGTAAGTCAGAATTTATAGTTCGCGTTATATATACATAATTATTAATAATTACACATATATACACACATTACATTAATAATTACAAGTATAACGTTTCTATATATAAAGGGCGAGCACAATAGATCTATGTAGGTCACAGTGCTACAGGGGCTACACAACTGACAATATCCCAAACAACCCAATAAAAATAATTCTATATATAGCGTACCTTCCCATCGCTGTCGAGTACGACAGTGTGCATACCCCCTGCGCGGACCTCCACCACTTTATCTCCTAACGCGGTCACATGTTTGAATCTGTAAGAAAAAGATGCATTTATAAATAACTTCCTCGCATAGTATAAAAAAAAGTCATCACCGCTGTCTGTTTACTGAAACGAATTTTTATGCAATTTTGAGTAATAAAAATTGGACAAGTTATTATCTATACATATATATAAAATTAGAGTGTCTGTTTGTAATGTTGAAATAAACGTTTTTTACTACATGCTTATGCATTTGAATATAAATACGGTACATACACCAAAATAACGTTTTTTACAATTTTTTTTTGTCTGTTTGTTCCGGCTAATCTCTGAGACCGATTTTGACGGGACTTTTATTGACAGGTAGCTGATGTAATAAGAGGTAACTTCGGACGAAGTCGCGTGCACAGCTAGTCTATACATATAAATTTAATTGAAGTGTCTGTTTGTAATATCAATTTAATAGCTTTTCACTAACCGCATGTGAAAGTATATATAACACTTACATCTTCAGATGGTAAGCCTACTAGTTTTTAAGATTTTTTATCTGTATTTGTATCACTATTAGAAATAGATTATTTATATACTATTAGAAATATTAATCTATACACAGTTTTATTATTACCACGTTCGAACTAGCTTTCGAGTTTGAAATTTATACCAAAGGATATACTGGAAATATGTACCTATTTTTTAAATTCAAAACATCTGTTAAATCGTATAGTTCAGTGTTTCATAAATTACTCACTAAACAATTATTTGAATGACAAACGAGCATGGGCAACAGTTGTTCCTGCACGGATTTTCAATAAATGTTAGACATAGACACCTACAGAAGTACACGAAGTAAATAATCTGGATAAAAAAAAAATAGAAATTCAGTTAAGTTTCTTGGCAGTTCTTCTCAATTGAATCTGTATACTGAACTGGACGGACTGACTGACTGGACTGAATCTGGACGGTACGGAAAAAATATTAATACAAAAATTTTGACGTTATTAAGTGGCTAATATGTTATTACTTCAAAACAAATCAAAATTCATGTAAGAATTTAGATTTGTTTTGAAGTAGAGGTAGTCTATCACTAGACCAGTACGGTCCCAATTATTTTATTTATCAATTTCTTTATTATGGATGATAATGGAATGGTGCACCCGCCTGCGCTAACGGATTACGCTGGCGGGGCACCAGTGAAGGATGATAAGATGACCACGAGATCTGGACAGTTAGACCATCGTAGTAAATTCAACACGAATATATCACGACGGTTTCCAGAGAGAACCACGTGGAGGTCAACATGATATGGTACTTTGATAGTAATGGGGTTATTAGTACACATTACTAATAATTTAATTTCCCCCATGGTCGCGGGTCGCGGGTTCGACTCCTCGCACGGCACAAACAATTGTATTAATGAGTATGATTGTTTGTCCAATACAAACAATCTGGGTGTTTTCTACGTATAACATGTATGTATTTACGAAAAAAAAAATGTATCTATTTGTATCAGTTATCCAGTACCCATAACACAAGCTTTAGCTAGCTTAATTTGGGTCTAGATGGCGCTGTGTGAATTGTCCTGAGATTATTATTATTATTATTATTAAGACTAGGTCTTTTCCACATTATTAACAATCCCCTTCCCCCGGCTTTATCTATTTTACAATACACGCCGCTATATAAACAAGGAGTAAGTGTTTCATTATCTATTAACACAGATAACATGTACTTCATTGATAAATATATAAAATGTACAGAATTAATTCCTGAAAATATTTTCTTTATGACGGACCCGGTGGTCTAGATGTTTAGAACATCGTTTTACTTCCGATGGTCGCGGGGTCGATTCCTCGAACAGTGCAAACATTTGTATTAAATATGAAATGTAAAATTAAATGTCACTGTGTGGGTAACACAGGTTACTTTTCACAAATTCTAGTTTGGTAGATGGAGGGATATATATTACACTTTATTGTAAAACTAGCGGTTACCCACGACTTCGTCCGCATACAATTTAACTTTTTATTAAATGTAATTTTTAAATTAAAAGTGGCTAAGTTGCTCCTTATAATATAAGCTATCTGCGAGTGAAAGTCCTATCAAAATCGGTCCAGCCGTTTCAGAGATTAGTAAAAAAATACAGCCAGACAATAATGACATATCACATGTCATATCCATTTAGTGAGAAACTTTATTCATTAAATTAAAATTACAAACAGACACTATATACTAAATATTATTTATTTGTATGTATGGATACAGAATATATAAATAATAATTGCCCATGAATAGTACTATGGAGATCACATTATGACAGAAAACTCTCTTGCATTGCCAAATGCCATAATTTTACTATCTTATCTCACCTTTCACCATAGCTGCTTGGCGGCTGAAATAGGTGAGATTGAGGTACCTATTAAGATGACTTTTTACAAAGTCTGTCTTGGTAATATAAGTAAGAAAGTGTAAGTAGTATTATAGTATACCAAATACTATATTACTATACTAGCTGTGCGCGCGGTTTCATCCACATGAAATTGATACCCTATGTGTTATTCTTATATATAAGCTTTTAAGCATAAGAAATTTTACACTAATATGTAAAATTTCATTAAGAGCCATTTAGTAGTTTTTGCATGAAAGAGTAACAAACATCCATCCGTCCATCTACACTCACAAACTTCCATGATTCAATATTAATAAGATTACCTATATAGTAATTGGTTTATTATAGATACAAATCATCATTGCCACGGAGTTGGTGTAGTATGTCATTTTCTTCCACTGATCTCTATCAGACGTCAGATCCTTTTATTCCTATCATTTTTCACACAATGCATCCATCTTTTTATAGATACAAAGCAAACATTTTAGAATACAAATACAAAAATATTATATGAACTTACTTTGAAGTTTCAATAACATCTTCACCTAAACCGAGCTGACCAACATCCCCTTGTCCACATGCAAATACGCGACCCCTCTTTTTGTGTGCAGTTGGTATATCCAACTGGATTCCTGTGGACAAATTTTTATTTATTATAATTATATGATATTGATATTTAGTGAAATCATTTAATGTGTAAGCTTATGTAAGGGTTTATTTCTAAATTCAAATGTTTATATTGTAGAAATATTCGACTGGAGGACTAGTATCCATGGTCATGAGTAAATAAAAAAAAAAAATACTTAGTGCTAAATGTAAGAGCTAACTGACATTGTTATTGACTTAGTCGATAGAAATTATATTTCAGAGTAGACTGAATGAGAGAGAATTGAAAAGAATAAAAAAAAAATTACCTACACATTTATAATAGTAGTATTACAATATATCCTACATTATTACTACAGAAATTAACTTTAATATTACAATAATTTGTTTTTTTTAATATGTACCATTCATACTTTCATATGCATTTACTGAAAATTTCATTTTGAAATTACGAACAGGCAATTCAATTTTATTTATTCATATATATGTATAAATTCAACAGACTTAAACACTGTTTAAAACTTTTTCTCGGTTGAACATTCAAAGATCAAAAATAGAACTTTACTATGTTACAAAACACAACTTTGTAAGAACATGCCAGAGTTGATCCCACTCACCTATTATTTATATTCAGAAATTTGTAAACCGATATACAATAAAACATTTGAAAATATGTATATTTGTAATAACAGATATGTACCAAAGTTTGTAAAATTTTGAGAGACACTGTCATGAAAGGAATCTATTATCAGAATATAGGATTAATATTTATATTTATGTATTAATCAGTTATTCAGGGTCAGTTTCTCTATACATACTATAGATACACACAGCATAGTAAATATTAAACAGTAGGTAAATATAGCACAATTCCCATTAGAGTTTTGATAGTATATCATAACTAAACATCAGTTTAAGGTCAATACAATTACATATTTGTTAATATAAAATTACATGGCAATGAATCAGTAAAAAATATACTTATTTAACTCTAATTCCGCATGGAAATATACTAATCTCCTTTATACTTATACATCACGATATACCTACATGTAACTCAAGATAAATAGAATAACCTCAAAAACCTATCTCAATCTACGCTTATATAATACACGGAAACAATAACATATCATATCTAAATTATACCCTAATACGTCGCACTGATTTTAAGTGGTAATTTATACGATAATAATATGACAATTTCTAGTAATCTAATAAAATGCACTCAGCGTCTTTTCCCGCCATCATGCTTTGACAGGTCATTGACGTCGGATAAAAACATAAAGAAAACAATTGAGAAATTACTTTTGAGACTTACCTCCACGTTTTTTCTTATTTTTGGGGCCCGAGGATGATGTGGCGGCCGATGACTTGGACGCTGTTCGCTTAACGCCCCGTGCCGCCGGCATTATGCCTGCAATATTGCAATAAATGCGTCAATAACACCACTAAACGCGGTAAATGCAACACAATTCGATGGCTTCTCAACTATGACGTGTTTAATACTTTTATAATTACATTAAAGCAGTGTTTCTACATCGTTTGCATCTGCATCAATTACAAGGCTACGGCCTCATAGATTTTATGCGAAGCGAAGATAGGTTATATTATGCATTTGTATATGATACACTAAACTGAAAACAACGCTTCCGATATATACATGGGAGCATGACACGGCAACAAGATAGTATACTTACTGTTTTATTTAGGTATTGTAATGCGAATCACAAACAAATTAAGAAATAACACTTTAGAATATGGTATGACGTATTATTTCAACAGAGTACAAATCTCGTACATTTCCCTTGCGTTCGCTTCGCTTGGCCAACGACTGAGTGATGTGCATTATCGTAAAATATCGATATGACAATCGATGTTAATGATGTTTACCGATGTGAACCTGATATTTTTTATTGAGATCATCAAAATCGAATTCTATTTATAACTAAATAATAAATGAAAGTCAATGATGCCAATATACAATAAATTAAAAATTGAAATCTGTAAAAAACCGTATGCGTTTTCGCGTTGTTTTCTATCTCACTTACACCTCAACTGGAGCAGGCACGTAATACACTTTGCAATTGTGATTATTGATTATAGCAATTTCTTAACAAAGATATGTAGGTATATGATATTGATATAGAATTCATTTTGAAATTTGTATAATTAATTATGGAAAGATAAACTTGTGAATTTTGAATGCCCTTCCAAATGAATTCATATGAGTGGTATTTTTTGTGGTAATGATCAATTTTAAACATATGTATGTTTTCTCAATAACAATATCTGTTTAGGTATTTTATTATATGTCTGATATTGACTGTCAAATTATTTATTCATCTGTAGCATGCAAAAGCGCGTAACTAGATAGCGTGTTTACGAAATTATTCTCCAGATGGTGCTATTTCTATTAAAATACCTATGAACTGCTGGAAAGATATTTTTAACAGAAAGCTGGAATTGGATGTTACAATATATAAAAACGATTTATTCTATCAACAATGTGTCTATGCTTCAAGAGAAAAAAAAATATTATGGTTGTATAGTGATGACTCATGTCACATGATGTCATTATATGAAATTTATGAGGTATGTTTATTATTACTACGACCTCTATTTCTACGGTACAATAAATAAATTCTTGGTTATAACCAACGAGTAAATTAAATATATCAATTCTAACAATTTCAGTGTAGATAATGATTGTCGCTAGCAAAGTTACTCGACATGCAAATAGTTCATTTTCATTGGAGTTACCCAGAGTAACCAATAGATGGCGCAAGTAGTATCATTGTATTCTGAATCCATACTGTAAATAGGCGACCGAACTTCGCCCATCGTCTTTTTAGGGCTCCAAACCAACTAGGCAAAATGAAAGTATTTTTTTTAATGGATGATAATGCTATAGTATACGATGGCTGGGCATCAGTGGAGGATGATGAGATCAAAAATGTCAGGTCAGCTAGCCCATAATGATGAAATCACTTGGTTTCTAAAGGGAACCGCGTGGAGGTCGATCTGACTGCCAGCAATATGGTCTTAGTCCCCATTACTAACAACCCCTTTCCCCTTTAAATGAATGTATTATATTTCAGACTAGCGTTGCCAATGTCCCGATTTTGGCGGGAGATTTCGATTCTTAGGACATAATTAAATTTTACAGACGGCCCCAATTCCGCTCTCTGGACTATGTGATCTGATAACTTTTTTAGTTGTACCTTTACATGCTTTTTTGTACTTTAATATCAATCTATTTTTTGGGTCGCATGTTTTATAACACTAATTTGTTTTATTTTACACTAGCTGTTCCCGCGAGTTCGTCCGCATGGTATTTCTCTTTATTTTTCTAAGATAAAAATAGCCTAAGTTACTCCTTATTACATTAGCTACCTGCCAAATAAAGTCCCGTCAAAATCGGTCTAGCCATTTCTGAGATTAGCCAGAACAAACAGACCGAAAATTATAAAAAAATGATATTTTGGTATATATCCCGTATATAGATATATTCATATGCATGTAGCAAAAAACGGTTATTTCAATATTACAAACAGACACACCAATTTTATTTATATGTATAGATTTCGATGTGTTCGCGACTTGATTATGTATTTTTGAAGTATCCCTCTTTATTTACTTGTTTCAACATTGATTGGCTTCAAAATACTGGCAACGTTGTGTCAGATATGCGGTAAAATATTAAAATTGGATTTCAAATCGTTGAATCACCATTGCATTGTAAGAGTACATTTTTACCCCGTTACAATTACCCTCATTCATTCATAATTTAAGAGCTGTGCTCTTGTCGGTAGAGCTCTCGCCACCTTCCACGATCTTCCATCAGTCCTTTTAGCTGTTGGTACGACACGACAATCACCCTCATGTATGTCTAAACTATACACCTATATCTGTAATCAATGGTATAATTTCAAACAAATACAGGTAGTCCTCGTAGTTACGTCATGTTTTTTAAAGGATGATAATGGAATGGTGCACCCGCCTGCGCTAACGGTTTACGCTGGCGGGGCACCAGTGGAGGATGATAAGATGAGCACGATCTCAGTTTAGTTAGCCCATCGTGGTAAATTCACCCTGGACAATTTACATAGCACAAGCAAGAGCCAAACTAAGCGAGCTTGTGTACTATCTGTTTCATGGTCAGTTAGCCTATTGTGACAAATTCACCTAGAATTTATCACGATGGTTTTCAGGGGGAGCGTGGAGGTCAAGCTGACATGGTACATTGCTAGCAATAAGACCATCAGTCCATATTCCCTCCACTTACGACATGTTAGGTTCTCCAAATACGCGACGTAAATCGAAACAACGTAAGTCTGTATATTTTTCATATGTTTACATGTGGCTAGGCTCCACACGGACTCAAAATTAAAAAATAACTGCATTTATAAAAAAAGATATACATACTTTATTATCAAAAGTAAGTTCGATGACTTAAATCGAACTGACGTAAGTCGAGGACTGACAGTACACAAACACGAATTTCTAATATAAACTACAATTTGGTTGCACCGTCAAAACTCGTCTATATGTTAATACGATGAATTACCCCAATTTTCTCTATGGGCTACACAGTACCATGCAGTGCCAGGTTGATATGACGTCGCGTCGTCTGTACCTCCCACAGATATACACGAACGTCCTCGCAATTTTTTTTAAGTTTTGAAATGGCAAGAAGCTGTTTGACCACCTGATGGTAAGTCGTACTATACATCGACAGCACTACGGACATCACGTTATCATGAGACCTCTGAGATGTGGTATCCTTTCAGAGGGCTAAGGTGTCATGCTGTTATAATTTCACTGTCTAAACCGGATCCTATACAACCGAAGTACAGCTTACAAAGCGAGCTACTTAACGGCTGAAATAGGTAAGACTGTATTTTTTAGACATATTAGATGATAATGAAATGATGTACCTGTCGGTGTCTAAAAATTTACGCTATCAAGGCACCAGTGGAGGATGAGAGATTAACATGAGGTCAGGTCAGTGCAAATGCCCCAGGAATTTATCATGAAGATTCCACATAGGTCAACATAATAGTCAGACATAATATATTGCTAGCAATGGGGATACTACGAACAATCGGCTTTCCCTCAACTATGCAGACGAATTTTTGCAGTCTACCTCAAATTATGTTAAATTACCGCGGTCATTATTTATACGTATAATTAGTAAAAATCACGGGATCTTCCCACGTTTTATATTTATTTGCTGAGTTCCCGATATTTTATGTTTCAACCACCATGATAAACTCCCAACAGTTTACAGTAATGATTTTTACTAATATAGCATAAATTGGCTAAGCATTTGGCTCAGCTGTGACAACCAACATATTGTTAAGTAGTTTTATTTCGAACTTTTCTAATTGGGACCCACACTTTATTTCCACTTATATCCCCCGTCCCATGTATAAAACATTTTTAAACTCTAAAATAACATTTTTCTCTAATTTCATTTAAAGTCAAACACATTCATACTCTGAAATCGAATGACCGTCCTTCCTCTGAAATCTGCCGCCCCCAGGACGCTGTCGCCCCTAGACCGCGGCCTATATGGCCTATTTATTAACCCAGGACTGGTCCCACATTGGGGAACACTGATTTATGTGACAGGGACACGTAAATTTGTGACAGGCAGTTTAGGTGTGCTTAGTGGAGTGGGTCGGTTTTTCACGGCGGCCCAACGCTTGCAATTATGTAAGGCACAAATCCAGTCGCACATGGACTACTGTTCTCGTCTTCCATTTAAGCGCATTCAGAACCGAGCAGCCAGAATCATTGGTAATCAACGTTTTTGTGACAGACTCGACCCATTGGCTTTGCGGCGTGATATTGCATCTCTGTGCATTTTCTACCGCATATATCACGGGGAATTGTTCAGATTAATACCAGCTGCTGAGTTTCACCATCGTACCGCCCGCCAGAAACTAAAATATCATCCTGATCATCTAGATGAATGGCGGTCCTCCACAGTGCGTTTTTTCAGAAACCTTTTACCACGAACAACCAGACTGGAATCACTTTCCAGGAATGATATGTCCAAACCGATACGATGTTGAAACCTTTCAGAAAATAGCTTGTTACTCTTACAAGGTCGGCAACGCACTTGCAATTTCCCTGCTGTTGAGGGTGCTCATAGGCGGTGGTGATCACTTGCCATCAGGTAAGCAACAACCTTGTTTATCCGCATTATTTATATATTTTATACAAGCTAGTTTGCCCCATATAATATATATAAAAAAAACTGTATTGAGTTCCCCTCCGATCGATCCTCTCTGTCCAATTCAAACGGGGATCGAAATCACGAACTTCGGTTCGAACCTCTAGCGGTGCTCTCAGACTAAAGTCGTATCCGTCAGGCGGAAGTTGATCTTCACCCGCTCCATAAATCCTTCCGCGGGTTTGGAGTGCCATTTGCACTCGTTCCCTATCGTCCAGTGAAGCTGTAAAGGCCAGCTGCGGCCAACAACATTAGAGTAGTCCGAAAAAAAAAGATTAGGGTTGAGGTCAAATATCTACATACATATACATATTTGCTTATTTGTTACCATTTCAAACGCCTTAAAAATATTATCTGGTTAATCTGCTAAACGTACATTGAGCAGATTTAGCAGAAATTAGCTGACCCACGAGCTTCGTCTGCGTCACTTTTGCCTGTTTTTGCGACCTTTTTTATAGCAGCTCCGCTCCAAATGATCTTAGCGTATAGTCTTATGATGTTATATATTTAGCTTATAACACTTAAAAATAAATTATCTTTATATTAGTAAAAGAATTTCCAAAATCGGTTCAGTAGATTCAGA